TATTTACAACAAAAGTGGTGTCATGAAACTGATAATTTTATGGGTGTCAACACATGTCATGAACTATTACTGGTGGTAGGACGACTTGTGAGTCCGCGCGTGTAGGTACTTACCACCGCCCTGCCTGTTTCTAAAATGAAGTAGTAATGCGTTTCGGCTTGAAGGGTGAGGCAGCCGTTGTACTGTAAAAACTAAGACCTTAGAGCTCATATCTCGAGATGGATGGCAGCATTTACATTGTAGGTGTCTATGTGCTCCGATAACCACTTAACACCAAAAAAAAAACTACCCACGTCTCAAGGTGGGTGCCGGCTTCTACGTAATCCATGTCTGTGAGCTCCGGTAGCCAAATGAGCAATAGATAAAAAAATAGAATTTGGTTTGTCGTCGCATGAAAGGTTTTTTTTTGTTGCTATAGATAAAATAGCTGCTAGCACGTCTGCTTTTAAGTGATTTTCGGAGCTCATAGACATCACAGCATGAGCGCTGCTCACCGTCTGGAAACATGAAGTATGAGCGATTACAAGACCAATGTGAAGAAGACTGAAGTCGACCGAAATCGATTCACATTTGGACGGAAAGCGATTTCCCAAGAATTTATTGATAACTTCATTAGTCGTATAGAAAGGATACTGCAGAAAGATCAGGCAGCTAGAGGGAACAAAGCTAAGTTCTGATCATTGACTACGCTTTAGTCTGTTCTAGGCGCTTAAAGAAAAAACACCAAACCAATGTCATTCCGTAATTTAGTTAATTTTTGTCTATTTTTTTCTTTGCGCAATTTTAAATTAACGACTATTGAGCAAAATCGAAATGAATAAAGCTAACTATAGCAAATATCCATGTTGTCGTCTTAATTCGTCCTTTAGTTTAAAATACAGACAGGACTGTACAAAACTGATTAAATAGTAAATTAAAACTGCTTAATCTCGCTTTTATCGTATTATAGTTAAATTATTACGTACGCTTCGAATACCTTACAGGTTTCGTGGTCACGGACGGTAGACGGTGTAGTAGTGGTAATTTTAATTACGTCTATGACTCGCGAAGACCGGAGACGATACCAAATAAAAGCAGTATAAAAACTACAAAATCACTAAACACAAAATCCGTATCTAGTTTCGAGTGTCTGAAAAGTTAAAACAGATCATCGCAAACACAAAATTCATTCATTTCTTTAATGAATTTTCAAGTCAACCATTCCTTCTTTGGGTGCAGCCATAAAAACTTCACCCCTTATGGAGACGAATGATATTATCGCATTACATCTGTCACGAGTCGTCCGTGTTGGTGCTTACCGAGCAAATGGCCAAGGTCACGCTAAATTAATGCGAATCGCGTAAAACAAAATTGTTAATGCGGGGTTAATGACATCGCATACTTGTATCGAAAGTTTCGCTGCTAACATTCTGATGAAGCGGTGTTCGGTGTTTTAATTTATTAATAAACTAGCTTTAATGGCGTGATCGGGCGAAGTTGAAATTGTTTTAACGAGTTCAAATAAGGAATGACAGCTATTTGGTTTAATGAGCTCTGTTAATTAATAAGTTAACTTTTAATTTGCTTTCGACTTGTTTTATGAAAAATAATCAAATCTTTTGTGGTTCGTGTGAAATAGCGATTCGCATAAGGGACTACACATGAAGATGTAGAAATATATAAGTATTTACGTACGTGTTGTTGAAGCACAGTTATTAACATTAGAACACAAAAACATCTAGGACGATTTTTTTAAAGTACAAAAATATGAATTTAATTTATTCTTTATTGCGCTTGTTCATTTGATATTGAAAAAAAAAGTGACTATTCATTAAAATTAAATATCCATATGCATGTAAACATACCTATTAAAAATAAAATAAGTTTAAAATTAAATAAGAGCCAATGTCCCTGAAGAGGTTAGCACGTTTAAGTATTTCCTTCATTCATTCGATTCAAAAATTCGCGGTAAAATATTGAGCCCTGGCTATTGGTGTACACAAAGTAATAGAAAATTATTGGGTTTGAATGTCACGTCTAATCACATAATGTCCTTTTAAAAACTAATTTATCGAAAGTAATTTAATAATTTCTTTTAACTTAAATATGTTCGTTACTGACAGGAGATAGATAAGGTATTTTTGATTAGTTAAAATAGTGGTGTACAGTATGTGAGCGCGATGAAATATGAGTGAATAAGATGAATTAATATCGTAAAGCAATTAAATATTTAACCTCACGGTAAATTTGGGCCATTAGGTCATAGTTATTTGTGGAAAATCCACAGCATCATCATCATCATTCATCATCATCATTTCAGCCTGTCTGCTGTCCACTGCTGAACATAGGCCTCTCCAACTGATGTCCAGTGCGGCCGGTCCGTTGCCACCTGCATCCAACGTGAATCCACAGCAGGCAATGTTAAATAGCATATTTTTTGTATTTGTCTTACCATTTTAAGTTGACAGGCATACGGCCCATTTGCTGGTAGGTAATTTCCATTGATCACAATAGTAACGCCAGGCGCATAGCCTACTACAAAATAGAAAATAGAGGATGCTATATTTTTTTAAAGTCGTGTTCTTTAACCCACTTCAGGTGCACGTGCTACTGTTTTTTTTATAAACAGTCACTTTTAACGAACCGTGCGTTCGGAAACGACGTCAGACGCTCTACCCAGGATATCCTGTTTAAAAAATAAAAGAGCAACCCTACACCTTTAGGTCAACGGTGTTAAATAATTTTAAGACTTACACTGCAATAAGAGAGTAGAAAATTGAATGTTATTGTTTTAAGGGTATGGAGTGCGTGCGCGAACACCCGTTCCCAAATTGTCGTTTTGTATTGAAGTATGCTTCCAGAGATACAATCAAGTTTATTGCCGTAATATTTTACTGCTTTTGCTGTGTTATGGTTTCAATAATGAATAAGTACATGTACCTAGCTAACGTAATTAGTTAAATGTAGGTTTGTGAATTTATTGGGTTATGATACTACGTTTTCCACCTTGACTTTTTTTCTTTTCCTACCTATGCTGATAGCCTTGAGAAGCTATTTCAGCGTAACCTTAACTAGTAGGTGAGCTCACGGGGCTCAAACCGGAGTGATGCTAACACTGACCCTAGCAAGAGCAGTGCCTTGCAGAATCTACCGCCGGATCGGAAACGCGACCCACTGAAAAGATCCAGTGAGAAACTCAGTGGGATGTGTCTATGGGTTAATTCGCTCGTTGCGCCCTTCGTCGCAAGCGACGGGTTCGACGAGGACGGTGACCAGTGCTTGTGATACCTAAAAGCACCGTTAATGGATCGGTAGGATCCGTAATGACGTGTTTTGGGCAACGTCGACTATTTACCATTCGGTCTACAGGATCGGGTATATAATTACCAGCTGCCACGACAAGAGGAACCACCTTGACGTAACAGTTATCGTAAACGTGATACCAAAGTACCATAATGATTATGTTTAGATACTCTGATAGCATTTCAGTGATATGGCGGTAGTCCATGCTAGGATGGCCACTTACTATGGTGGGCTGAAAGGTATGCAGACTTTGGTGCCAATGAAAAAATAAAGAGCTCTGTCATGTTCAATAATACCATTAGACCAACTTCGAACTATTAACTCCATTTGTCACAAAAACTGATTAATACAGCGATTTGGAAGTATTCTACAAATTTAAGAATAATAAAAAATGAACTAATAAATTTGACAATTTGTATATGTATACCTTTAATAGTCCTATCATAGTACCTATAATGCGACTGTGCTAGTGTTCGATTCCTAAAGGCAATTACCATTTTTTCTGAGGGTAGCATTGATAAATAAAACAATACATTAATGGATGATAGTCATACATACCAAACGTTTGTGAATGACTACCACAGTGAAGGAAATAATATCTATACTAATATTATAAAGCTGAAGAATTTGTTTGTTTGAACGCGCTAATTTCAGGAACTACTGATCCGATTTGAAACATTCTTTGTGTTAGATAGCCCATTTATTGAGGAAGGCCATAGGCTATAATATAACATCAAGCTAAGACCAATGCAAGCGGAGCACCAATAAAGAATGTTTCAAATTCTTTTTTTTTTCCTTTTGAAAGCTTCCGCTGCGTGCGCTGCAGAAACGGTTAAAGTTTCGCTAAAATAATGTATGACAGAATTGTTCTCCTTTAAAAGATCTAAAAAAAAGCTCGCGACAGCATATGTCTATATGTTAAGGTTGACTCACTATTCCACGCGGACGAAGTCGCGGGCAAAAGCTAGTTGTGAAATAAAAATCAAACCGCAAAAAATTATAATTTGCGTAATTGCTCTTTATTACTCCCGTAAAGCAGTACATAATGCGTTTCGGTTTGAAGGGTGTGGCAGCTGTTCTTCTGTAAAAACTGATACTTTGAGCTCCGGTTTTACGTTGTTGATGTCTATGGGCTCCGATACGACCAGGTGGGCCCTAAGCTCTTCCACCCGTCTAAGTAATACAAACAAAAAACATCACATGACGCGAAATATTACAATAATAATATTATATAGATTTGAATGAATCAAGAGTACCTAAGTGTCAATGGAAATACCACATTTTTGTGACTAATAGAAGGTGTTGTGTGAAACTAATACTAAATTGGAAATGATTGATTAAACGTTCATACCGGACTTATTTTATATTGTTCGTAGTCATAATCTACTTCTGATTTCTTCTAATATTTGAATGACTTATAGGTCAAAAACACCAACTCATTAAACTAAAAAAATACCATTTTTTATAATTTCTAGGTCATGATGAGGATTAATAAAAAAAAAGATTTATACAATATCCATTGAAAAATATTTAGGATTTGTTTGTGCCTATAATTAAGATTTTGTGTCGTTTCACTCGTTTCCCAACCGCCTTGCATTTCATTGTCAATTCATTCAATGCTCAATCGCGCGCCGATCCAACACCAGTTAATTCGTTTTTTTTTTGAAGTTCACTCTTCATTCACTGCCGTCATTCAGTTCAGTTAGTCTGCGCTTGTCCGTCGAGGTGAGAGTATGCGCATGTGCCGATCGACTGTCAAACGAACGAACGTAAATAAACAAGTGAAAAAGTCTTGTGCCAAATAAATGTATTTTACGCATCATTTTACTAACTTTATAGATTATTGTGACTTTTTAATTCGTAAGTGATACTGTACAACGAAATTGAAAGTAAGTTTTTTTGTATTCTTTTAATTTATTGCACTTTGTCTGCTATGCCGGCGGCATCTTCGAACTTCAAGATTTATTTGATTTTATTCGGATTTTTGCACATGTAGCCAGGAAATTAATTTCATAGGTATTCCAAATTTAAAAAGGTTTTTTTCTTCTACTTAAGTACGCATTCAACGAATGTTTTCTGTTACAAATTTCACTTTTTGTAAATCGAGAGAAAGCACTGTAATTTTAAGAGTAATTGAAGTTTTGCGATTTCGTGCGAGTTGGTGTAGTATAATTAAAATGATACAATTATGAGTAAAATAGTGGATTTCAATTACTAAAAATTATGATGGTACACTTCATTCTTGGAACTTTGAATTTAATATGCCACATTTGTATTATATACCCATTAATGGTTACAACAATGATTCCAACAGGCAGGACAGTAGACAGAAATTTTTTAACAATACTACTAAAAAAAAACAAGAACAATAATACTTGAACATTTCATTTTATTAATTAATAAGTAGTATGTACATATTTTTACCAATTATTTTAACTCAATTAATATGTGACAATATAATATTTTATACATTTTTGTACAATTCTATATTTAAAGTTATTTAAAATGTATATTTAATGTATACTGCTGGCACCCAATCAGAGTATCTCAAATATACATTAACAACTAACTGTTACTTGTTACTGAGATCACATTATTGAACTCCTGCCAAAGACAGCAACAACTAATCAGCTCAGCAGTGTGGGCAGGTGTAATCTTATATTGTTTAACTTTGTAGCAAATATTCCTGAGTTTTTTATGTTGTTCTATATGTTTAAAGATTTGAAATGAGTTTATGAAGTGGAATATTTTATTCATCTCCACTATTATTTAATTGTAGACAATTTTGGATCACGGAATGACTGGGTTAGATAACTGGGAGTCATATTTATTACTAGTGATAACATAATGTTGAGCCCTTGATCTTGGGGCTTCTCCTTTATACTTATCCAGCTTCATATCTATAAATTTTTCTATAAAAATGCAAGTAAATTGAATTGCTGTCTCAATGGAAGCACATAATATTATAAAAATCAAACTTGCAGTATTTATAAATACATATAATTACTTATTAGAACCACTAATTAATTACGGTGACCTTGCACTGTTCCAGGTTCAACTATCCCTTCTATTTCAGTTGTGATTGTATCTCATATTAAGGAAAGGATATAATACTACAGACCTTCAGTAACATTTCAAAATTAGTGATGTTTCACTTTGCGATATCTGTGAGCTCTAACAACTATTTAATACTAGCTGGACATTTTTCTGTCCCCTTATTATAATAAAAAATAAATTGTAATGTCAAATGTTAAACATTCCCCCTGGAGGCCCATTCCAGCCCATTGAGCTAAAGCTAATAATCTGATTTGACAAAATTACAAATAAAACAAGACTTAACGGTTGAATTGGAATGAAAAATATCTTAAATGAAGATAGTGACCAGGAATCAAGCGGTGACCCGCTAAAGTTCATTATAGGGTGATTAATCATAGAACAATCATATTGAAGAAAAATTTGTATTTGTATAGAGAGATTCAGTGGAAAGACATTATATTTTCTTGTGAATATTATACACATTTTATTTAGATAAAGACGCCACTTATATCAACATACAAATGCATTAGTGCTATTGTTATGTTAATGCATAGGCTGAACGGATGAACAGGTTCACGGTACCCTCAGGTACAGCCCACTGAGATTCTCACTGGATCTTTTCAGTGGGTTGCGTTTCCTATCCGGTGGTAGATTCAGTGAAGCACTGCCCTTGCTAGGCTAGTGTTAGCAACGTCACCAGATTAGAGCCCCGTGAGCTCGGTGCTACTTACTCGGTGAATCTAGTATGACCCCTCGAGGTCACTAGAATAGGTAGCCAAAAAAAAGAGCTCACGGCCCATTGAATTGTGAATATTGTTTTCTTGCTTCTGTCAACGGAACGCAGGAATACTTCGCGCCAGAAACAGACAGGGTGGTGGTGTCTGCCCATGCGGGTTCATATTACGCCCGCTACAACTATTGACGTAAATAAGAAATTTGCATTTTTATACTTATTGCACAATTTTTAGTCATAGTAATTTAATCTTAGTATAATCTACTATTCTGTGCAGGTGTTAAAATAATGTGAACTTTAAACCTATCATGCCCTCAGGGTACTTTGCATTGTTTTCTTTAATCTATTGTAAAAATATTGTAATTGGGCGGGCAGTTTCCATAGAAATTTTGGGGCAGGTAAACACCTCCGATACTGGCCGCGCCATCCAGATAAGTTAAACAGAGACTTCCTGTTGCGCACGGTGACAATGACTTCTCGAAAATATTGGATAGATTTTTTTGTTAGAATTTAAAAAAGAAATCGTTTCCGACACATTACTGTTACAACTATTCACTTTGCTTATAAAAACCTAAAAGATTTTGCGCATTCTTCATTCATTGAAATTTCAGTAAACGGTAGGAATATTTGTATTACCATTAGGTATGCTTATTTATTTACTTAGGTTTTACGGGTTAAGATACGATTAAAATCTATTTTAGTCACGTGGTTAATAAATGCATAACACTAATAGTAGAACGAGAGTTCAAGGCTGAAGAGCTCGTATGTGAGCTATTAGAATCAGGTCGCGGAATTATTTATGTTTTTTTTCAACCAAGAGCTTAATTACTGGTGGCAGGACCTCTTGCGAGGTCTAAGCAAGTCTAATCTAAGGTCTAATCTAAGCAATAAAAAAAAAGCACTGAAATGTAGAAATCCAATATGAATAACAGAAGGACGATCAGGCATCACGATAGTATGAAAGGATGGTCACATTGCCGCGGTGGCGTTGACTCCGCGAGTTTGTATGGCACGGCCTCGACCTCAGCGAGTCTCAATAACGAGGTATTTTTAGTTTTCATTGCATACCTAAATACGTGCGGGTCTGACTCACGAACCAGTTAAATAGGTAGGAAGTAGGTACTTACGTGTTTTACATGGGAATAATGGACACCAGCATAATTATATGCTAATTATGGAGCTTATTAAGCGTTCTATCTTACTGTTGTCACGCGGATTCAGCTGAACTTGTGTACTTTTTGATGTTGACGTACTCAATTATATTTTTAGTGGATTTACCCGTGTCTTCGTCAGCGTGGTCAAGGAAAAGCGTTAGTGTAATTTCCTGTGGTAGAGATACGACTTTTCGGGAATAATAGTTAGTCGATGTCGCTCTCCTGATCGAAGACCGAATTTTCGATCATCGTTCTCGTCGAACCCGTCCCTTGTGACGAAGGGCTCGGCAAGTAAATTAACCCACAGACACAGCCCACTGAGTTTCTCGCCGGATCTTCTCAGTGGATCGCGTTTCCGATCCGGTGGTAGATTCTGCGAAGCACGGCTCTTGCTAGGGTTTGTGTTAGCAACAACGTCAGGCCCCGTGGACTCACCTACTCGCCCGGTGACGCTGACGTGGTCTCTGTTGACCATCAGCTTAAGTAGGAAGAAAAAAAACCTGAGAAGAGAAAGAAGAAGGATTTAAAAAATATATATATATCATGTCAATCTGTTGCTTCTTTCTGAAGGACAAATATAAAAATAAAGAAACTTTCAGATTTCTAATAATAGGTTGGGGAAAATATTTCCTCGCATTTTTAAGAAAATTCACAAAAAAAATTAATATAGTTTATTTACAATTAACTAAAGTATGTATGCGAAAATACTTTTTCCCCAACCTATTATTAATAGAACATGGGTTGCTGTTAGGGCGTATAGTATCACACGCGTTCCGAACCGAAAACCAGTCAGGCGTTCCGAATAGAAGGGTAGGTCTGCCGTTGTACATACAATACAAATAAGATTTCGACTTCATGCAGCGTTATTCAAGCTAATCCCAGGTGGGCAGCAAAATCGTCTGCTGATCAGAAACATATGCGTGTGTATGTATATGTATATTATATATGTATAAACATTTCAAACAAATTGCGTAGAGTGATCCACAATAAACTCTTGTTGTGTGGAAGTGGTCACGACCCTAAGCATTGAGGAAATCGAAGCAAGGAGAAGGAGAAGTACTTTTTTCAGTTCTTGATTTTTCAAATGAATTACGCACCTACCCACATATTTGTTTTAAAACGATCGTACTTATCTCAATACGTAAAACGAAAGTGATACCACGACGAAATAATTTATAATATTTAATATCTACTATTTAACAAGTCTCTTAAATGCGAAAAGCCCTTCGCTTTTATACTAGACTCCTAATAAGTCATATTATCTACGCATTATCTGTCTGTTAGTAGACCCCTAATAATTTTTTTTTTATCGTCCTGTCTTTTTTTTATTGCTTAGATGGGTGGACGAGCTCACAGCCCACCTGGTGTTAAGTGGTTACTGGAGCCCATAGACATCTACAACGTAAATGCGTCACCCACCTCGAGATATAAGTTCTACGGTCTCAGTATAGTTACAACGGCTACCCCACCCTTCGAACCGAAACGCATTACTGCTTCACGGCGGAGGCGGGGTGGTGGTAGCTACCCGTGCGGACTCCCAAGAGGTCCTACCACCAGTGATAAAGCCTAATTCTGTTGTGAAAAATCAAATATTGGGTTCTGAATAGCAGGATGGTGATTATCCTAATTCCACTAATCCTCTAACTAGATTACATTTTCCTAATGGGAACGTTACGATTCATGGTATTGACCCTGGAAACCGTATAGCATTAGCTGAAGTAAGTATTTCGTTTGCCCGTCGTCTATGCTAATAAAAAATAAAAACCCAAAAGTTTCCAAATAATTATGTAGTTTCGTATTAAAGTTAACGTCTATATTTAAATTAACCCCAACAGTCAGCTGCTGTGAGCGTACTAAATAAAGGTCAACCCTACCGCCCGCCATTATTGTTTCCAGTTTTAAAACGAACTATAGGATTTGTTGAGTAAATTTATTCAACGTTTGTTTGTTCAAATAACAAAAGAAA